CAGCCGCCAACCCATGCAAACCAAGCGTAAGCAAACATCTGGTGTTCGCGCCTCCTTCGGCAACGAAAGGCCGGCAAAGATTCCAGACGCCTGGCCACACTCCCAAGCATTATAGGCAAAGGCTGGCTTTCATGCCGCGACCCCAAACAAATCGCTTCACCCCACACGCAAGCCATGCGCAGGACACCCAGCAGTCCAGAACATCTCGGAGAATGGCCTGGCAAGAGCCAAATACCAGCCTACCGATCGAACCTTTCTGTCGATGCTTCAGCATTGCAAGCTCCGACGATCTACGACGGCTTGCTCCACTACGTCACTACGGAGATGGAACATCGTAGCGACAGGCCATGCCAAAACTCAACCAAAGAAGAGGCTGTGAAGGCCTTCTCCTCCACGCAGATGCCCGTGCTGGAAACCTCTCAAAGCAGACCCGGAAAGCTCGCAACCATCCTCACACTCCTCACAGCTGCAGTTTGACGCCGAAGCCGAATTCAATGCTTGTGTCGTAGGACCGGCGGAGCAGCCATGAATATCTCCCTGTCAAGTTGTAAATGCTCGTCGTCTGACCGCGCTAACTACAGTATGCAACCCTTTTTGCAGCAGGCTTCTCTCGCCCGCCCTACACCTTGAACTTGATGAAACCCACATCCTAAAGCCCTATAAACTCAAGCCCACTGAGCCAGGCGCAGTAGATTCGCCAGGGACGACACAGCGGATCGCAAGGAAGATTTTCCTGGGCTCCGAGGTGCAACCCCTCGTCTTGGCCAAGGAGGACGGAGCAGAAATGTCACACAGCACCGAAACTCATAGAGGTTCCCTTTGTCGGGGTTCTTGTATTCAGGATCCTACTTCCATTGAGGGTGTACAGTGCAGTCCCTCGTTTGTGGTTCTTCCATTGCCATTTTGCAGTAGGTAGTCCATTGGGCACGACACAGCCCCTTGGGCCCCCGACGACACAGTGAAACCGCTGGACGGTTTTTCCTATGCACAAAATTGTGACTCTGGACCGAGGACGTCATCCATCACGGGCTGCTTGCGCATGCTACTGCAACCCATGTGCATCATACAAGACACTGCATTCGCTTCTGTGAATCAGCTGCAGCTGAGGCGCCGGTTCAGAGAAAGGACCCTCAGACTGAAGACGTCAGGGTTACGGGTTGCGAAAGGGGTGAATATAGAGTCTGCAAGGGCGAAAAGGGTTTAGAGGGCCTCAGAGGATTGATTTGTGGTGGTTTACAGCTGCTGTGGAGTCAGGGTTTATGAGGTTTAAGAGGAGTTTCGGCACTCACTCTTGCGAAAGACGGCCGCATCTCGATGGGAACCGGCGGCGATTGGAAATAACAACAAGTGCCCCATGGGGGTTTATGGCACTTTGGGGGTTATGGCTTAGGACCAGGATTTTTTGTTGTCTCTGGCACAGGGTTTAGGACATGTGGCGCTGTGGGCGGTTCAGCGTTTAAGTAGTACAGGGTAGCTTTGGGTCTTATTAGGGATGATCAACGGAATCGAGTGAGCAAGCTCATATTTCAAACGCCGGGTTCATCAAAATATATTGCAGCAACGAAGGTTTCCTCCATGCGAGGTGTGAGTGGCAAGCTCGGCCCCGATGAGGGAATCTCATCATGTAATTGTGCGACTTCTTTGTGCGCACTCGTGCTAAGCAGGGGGGCAGGGCCTACGATGGCCGCCGCAAATCTTCAACCCCCGCAAAGTCTGCGGGCTGCTTGAACACGCGCAAACACCCAGCGAAGCGAAGTCTTCAAAACCCCTATGTCGCCCGACATGCTATGAAACCGGCTTACCAAACCGTCACGCCAGGATGGAAAAGCAAGTCGAGCCTCTTCTCCTTGCTTCTACCGCTTGTCTTGGGCTTCTCCTGTCCAAATAGACCAACTTCAACATGGGCAGTTCTTTAAATTTTTATACGGGTGCCGTACTATATATTGGGGACCGACAAAGGGACCCTAATTTAGACCAACTTCAGCATACCAAATCACATCACAGAAGACTTCAACACCGAAAACCGTTGCCTTGTGGTCCTTCTTGACCTTAGCCTTGGCAGCTCTCGTGTCCCGGATCTTCGGGCTCTTCACTTTTGGTATCTTTGGGCTCCGCGGGATCCTCTCAAGAAGAGTTGGAACACAAGCCCGATAGACCCCAAACCCCGATGATCCCGAACCCTAAACCCCTATGAGCCATTACAAGCCCAGTGACCCCTATCGGCAGTCAAGACCAGTCCTGGGGCTTCTCATCACTTTCTTCTCTTGCGCCATGGCCCACCTGTCCTGAGTAGCGTCGCTTGGGGCGGGTCACTGTGACTGCGGCCATGGGCAGAACATCGGAGCTTCAAACAGCAGGGATACTTAGCGTAAAGCCGTAGTTCATGCAACAGTCGGCTTCCACCCTCCCGCCCCCACCTCGCTGCACGGTGCAGGCTGCCCCCCACCCGCGCTGCGACGCAACTGCGGTGGCAAAGAACAGGCTCTAAAGAACATGCTGTGCATGCAGGACGAGAGAGAAGGCTTGAATACTACAGAACTTTGCACTTACTCAGGAATCGATGCGCCTTTTGAGCGCCTCGGCAGTATCAGAACGAGGCTGATCAATGGCTTGGGCTAGCGGGTCCGGTTGCACCCGCTGCGGCCACTCTATAATAAGGAGAAGAAGGCCAACTTGGAAGGTGGGCCCGAATTTGGGGGACTCTAAACCCATCTGGGCGAGGTCCATCTTTGAAGCCCTTCTTGTGAGGGGCCTGAGCAAAATCCACCAGGCACTGGCATCAGTGGTATTTTGTTCCGAAGCGATGCCGAAATGTACAAGTGCCCTGGACTGTTCTGCTTGGTTTTCTGCTGGCTGCATCTCCGGCACGCCTGGCATGTGTAGCCCGAAAAGCACGCCCTGCCGTGGGCAGCAACCCAAGCAGGCTTCAAAACCGCGAATTACGAATTCCCCTCCACCCCTTGGCGGTACTCGAAGCTACTATTACTATGGGGGCCTTAAACATTCATTATTATAGGGTTTCGGGCTACATGATACTATAATCATAAGGAGGAGTCCCCCAAAATGGTATTGGCAATTATGTAGGCCCCCATATGAACATGAAAAGAGAAGCCGCGAGGTCGCTAGGAAGTTGAAGCCAAAGGCGGAGTCCGAAAAAGGCGCTGCGAACGACTTCGCCGCTCCCGCCGAAATTCTGCGACACTTGAAAATTCAAACTCCAAGCCCAGGAAACCCTAAGCCCTAAACCCAGGAAGGCATCTTGTTTTAAAGCAGTCACTCCGGCAGCCCAGACAGCAGAAGCCGCTTCAGTTGATGCCCGATGCAGTCCTGTAGACATGCTCCAACAAGTTGGCAGCCCTCAGGAAAACAGGGGGGATCCCCGTCTACATCCCATGTGGGGGTTTCCGAAAATAGGGCCCCCTAATATAGTACCCTAGTAGCATCTTTATCATAAGGACCCCAAAATAAGGTACCCCTAGTTTTCGGAAAGTCCCTTCTAGCGGGATCCTTAGCACCCCAAGAAGGCCAGTGGTCTCAAGGCTACTAGTTACTACCCGACTTCCCGGTGCATCCACGGGTCCTCGCCCAGGATGTCACAAAGACAGAAGGTGGCACGTGCCTGCAGCCCGTGTCAACTTGCATAACTTGCGAGGCTAGGACGAAATAGCAAGATCTGCTTAGAGCTCCCATTCTTCATTTGCCCGGCCACTTAGGCCCCTTGTTTGTTCTGATTCGCCCTCAGGACGGGTGATAGTTGGTACACACTTCCCTTCGCAAGCTTGCTCGCACTTGATTCATGCTCAGGGTGCAAGGTTCTCAAGGAATCTCTCCGACGCTTTTCGCCCCACTCCCGGATTGCTCGCTTCTATCGGCCATATGCCCATATGCTTCAAGGCAGGGCCCTGACAGCAGGGCAGGGAACGAGCCGCACTCTTCTTTCGGAAGATCCTTGATTGCTCTCCAGGAGCTGGTCCTCAGCCTATATGCCACAATCTTCTGTCTTCGACACCCCCCGGCCTTTCTCAGGGTGTCTGCTGAGTCTTCGATCACGAAAAAGCAGATTGCGATCAAGATCGGGGCGAAGATCCATTGACCTACCTCAGATTTAACGGGCTTCGGCTTTATAAGGTTTATAGGGCTTATACTAGTAGCGTAGGGTTTCGAAATTATGAACGATGTCTCAGGTACTGAGCGTTAAGGGCTTAGGATTGGGGTGTATCCTGCTTGATTGAAGTGTTGGAAGGTATGCTGAGGACGTGGCGACGACTACCCAAAAGCCATTGATTCTAGCTGACTCTAGGGCGATGGTGGCGATGATGCGGGTGATGCCAATGGAAGCCATGTTTTGCCGCGTGGCCGTCGAACGTGTCCGCTTCAGAATCCGGTCCACAAAGGCAATGGACCAGCCGTGAATCGGCTTGCCTCCATGACATGCAGGTAAGTGAAACGAATGTGACGTGCGGAAAACATTTCAAAGGCACCCCTCTTTCGGCACTTCATGCAACCTCCCCTGAAACCGCGTAGCCCGAGGGGCATCTTCGGAGAAGTGCTGCATCCGTCTCGGAAGCGAAAGCCTCAAAGAGCCTGTGATGCAAAGGGGTGTTTGCGAAATTTTCCCCTTGCGAGAAGCTAGTGTCCTATCCTAGTGTC